ATTGTTTGAATGTGAACAATGTAAAGTTGAAAAATAAGTGCTTGTCCAACGTACGAAAAAGAAAAAGAATGAGAGATAAAAGACATTTGAAGATAAAGAAAAGATAAAGGATATCTCTTTACTGAAAATGCACGCTTAATTATTGAAGGTAAAGTGAAAGATTTAAAGTTTTCTAAACCTTTCAAAAAAGTAAATAAAAAAAAAGTTTTCCACAACATCATTATAGGATGGAATTTTTTATTTTTGGGTAGCCAGAAATAGTTGGAATTAAGCTGGCATCATTTCCATTTGCACTGATTGATCTTGAGTCTCGACCAGATTTCTTCACTTGGCACTTGCCATGTCAGCAGTGGTCTGCGGGCACCAATGAACCTGCTGGGTTTGGCTGAATTGTACGAGAGATGCAAATCATGTTGAAGATGTGAATTCACATCACCATTTCAATACATAAAACAATTCCACCGAACCTTGCTGGTCTATAATACCATTGGTCTCCAATATCCATGGTATAGCTTCTTGTTGTCACGATTAGTGATGAGAAGCATTTGATATGTTTTAATTTATTATATTATTTTTGATTTTATTATTATTTGTAAGGATAATATGTGATACTTAATAAATTTTATATAATTTTTATTTTTTTAAAAAAACTTAAATGTATAATAAATAAAAGCTTTTTAGATTAATTGAATATTTTTTGAAAGTTGAGAGATTGAATTGCTAGGAGAAGGGATCTTTTTGGGACCTAAATGAATAAATCTTAAGTGATAGGATCAAAGTGCTCATCATATAAAAACTGGATAATCAGATCTGTTAGTTTACCATTGAAGAAATTACAAAAGGTGCCAACACGGGTACGATGTCAACACAGACTTAAGCCTGTGCTAAAACATATTTGCGTGAAATAACAAAAAGTATCAACACCTAGACAAACAGATTTACGTGAGATAACCAAAAATGTCAACACCTAGACGCCGGTGTCAACACTAAAAGTACATCCAGCATTGGTAATTCTCCGTTTTGTTTGAGTCCTGCTTCTTTTCTTCTTTTTTTTAATAAGTTTGTTAAACTTTATAAATATCTATTCAAAAGCTAAATTTAGTCGTTTTGGGGAAAGATCAAGAGAGAGACGGTTAAAAAGTATTCAACATTAAAAGAATATTAAGTCTTGAGATTTTATATTGTTAAATTAATTTTATTTATTTTGAAATTTTATTTTATGATATCGGATACTTTTATATTCATCACAAAATCTTTGATTTTCTTTTTTTTTTAATTATAAACTAATTTAGCCATTTAAGATTACGATATAATCTGGTTAATTTGATATAAAATTTTATAATTTTTATACTTTAAAATTTATTATTTCATGTATAATATATATTATTATTTTTAATATTTTTTAATAATTGGCTATTATTAAAATTGATTTGGAGGGTATAATTGAGATCGAGAAAAAATTTTATGTAATAATTTCTAGTAATATATACCATAATTTGAACGAAATTTAGAGATAAATCAACATCATTCATACAGCATTAGTAACAAATAGATTTAATTTTTTACATAAATTAAGAAATTCAATATAATATAATGTATTTTTATCTATTTAAATTTACATAAAAATACAGTGGGTTAGTAGGTAAAAATCAATTTGGTATAATTTAAGAAAGTATATTGAATAAAATAAAAAATTTTGTTGTCATATGAGTAATAAAGATTTTGAAAATATATTAATCTAAATTTTATAT